GATTGATTTCAAGTGCAATTCTGAACTCGATACTAAGTTCAGGTAGGTGAATGGAAAAACAGACGAGCATGGACAATTTATGAGAGCATTGCAGTCCACCTTCCCCGAGATTTTCAGGCTGTTCAAGCGGATTATGTGCCTTTTTGGGAGTACCTGTCTGTGTGAAAAGATCTTTTCCGCAATAAACTTTAACAAGTCAAAGATCAGGGTAGAATTACTATTGGGGATCTTCAAGCTATACTGAGGATCTCAGTTGCTTCCTCACTCAAGCCAAATGTTGCTCAGCTGTGTAAGAAGACGCGCTGCCAGGTCTCTGGCAATAAGGAGTAGAAAGACGAGAGTGAAGCCTAGTTCTTAAGAACCCTTAATGTTTTTATTTGTTATTAATAAAGGTGTTGCAGATTGTAACAGTTGTACTTCATTGAATTCATAAAAGCATTTTTTTTTAAATACTTGATGCGGCCCAGTCTCACTCAGACCCCACCTTCTGCGGCCTCCGGATGGTTTGAGTTTGAGACCCCTGTAGGGTTTGTATAGGGCAGATTTCGGTTGATTGGGTTTAGGTTCCTGTATTGCAGCGTTCGTTTCCTTCGGCAGTGCTCCTTGTAGAGCCGTGTTCGCCTGTTTGGGTATGGGTCCCTGTATGGCAAGGTTAGTTTGTTTGCGTGGGGTTGGGTCCCTGTAGAGCAGTGTTCGCCTGTTTGGGTATGGGTCCCTGTAGGGCAAGGTTAGTTTGTTTGCGTGGGGTTGGGTTCCTGTAGAGCAGTGTTCGCCTGTTTGGGTATGGGTCCCTGTAGGGCAAGGTTAGTTTGTTTGCGTGGGGTTGGGTTCCTGTAGAGCAGGGCTCGCCTGCTTGAGCGGGGAGGGTGATCACAACTGCTTTAAAAAGACTTTGTTTCAAAGACTATTTGCAACGCACTCAAATATAGAAAATTATTTACAATTTCTTAAAATGCATTACAGAAAGTCTGTGCAGAAAATAGTTTCAAACATTGATACAAATGAATGATACTTAAGTTTCGTCTGCATTCAATTCAAATCCTTTGGCTACATCGAGTGCTACATGGAGTGCTACATCGAATGCTCATCTACACTTCTTTACAGTCTACCTTTGCGTGATGCATTTAAAGACATTGTAATTCATTTTCCATTTTTTAGTGCGTTTTGTCTTGTTTTGTTTGATAGAAAGTCTTTTCAATAAATAAGTTATCTTCAGATATTAAAAAGAAAAATTTGGTATAGGGCTCTTGTTCTTTTTTGTTTCCATTATTTTCTAGGTTGACTGTCATCACCATGGTTGCATTTTTTTTTTAAAGTGAAAAGTCCTTGTGTTGATAAATAACGAGTACATTCCTAGCTTAACAATTTTCTTGCGATAAAAACTCAAGGTTTTAAAGTTTAAGCAGATTACTGTCACAGCTCATGGGCGATGGCAGCAATTCAATAGTAAAAACCCAAGCAAAGCTATGCGTGAAAAATTCATGCTCACGCAGGGATCAGTCAACAGCTACATGGAACAAAAAAAGTTCGCGGTTACCAAATCTAAACGATGACTAATTAAGTCATCACTGCCCCAAAGGGACTTTACTTGTGGCCCGATTTCAAGGCTGGAGAAATTCTTTAGATATCTTGCGTGTAAATTGCTATAATTTAAAAAGTTAAACATATTAACTAAGACATTTAGTGTTGTGCTGAACATGGATATGTACAATGTAATTTAAAAAAAAAAAATTTCCTTCCATTGATCTGGATCAATAAAAGAATGTTATGTTATTAAATTTCTGAATAATATCATAACTTTACGTTTTTTTAAACACACGTTTTTTATGATATATTTTTTTTTATTTGAGTTTATTTTAGATCAAACTGTCTCAGACTTTGAAGCCACAATGTGGACGGCCATGGTAAAAGTCGGGAGTCACGAATTGCTCGAGAAAAAAAAAAAAAAAAAAAAATTCCCGTTTTGGGGTGACCCCCCCCCCCCCCCCCCGCATGTCTGGGGATTGAGACTGCACTAGGTGCTAGGCATTAGCGTACATTGGGCGTTCAAGTAGATTCGTTTAATTTTATAGCGTGCGAGTTTATTGTCAAACAGAGAGAAAGTGCATTGCCGTGGACATTACAGCACAGGGCGCCAAAATGGTTAATTGACACCAACAATGTCCTCCCTCCTCGTTAAACGAATCACACCTAAGCCGAACTCGAACTGTAGGATTAGTCGCAAATCCTTTCTACAGTATACGCCATTCCATGCTTTCAATTCAAGATGTATTTTCAGGGCCGGCCTTACGCTTGCTGGCGCCTCGGGCGAGCTTAACTTAAGCGCCCCTTTCAAGAATTATGGTAAACATGTTTGCAAAGGAAAAAAAAAATTGGCGTTAGGTTATGAGTTTTATTACCTAGGTTGTTTTTTAAAAGAAACAGTGAAAAATAATAATGTTTATATTAGCTTATATATTATATTTGGACAGTATGAACAATTATAATAGCCTACCGTGAAAGTATGAACAATCAGCATGGGCAGTATGAACAATAAACCCACTGTGGGCGGTATGGATTAGTCTACCATGGGCAGTATGAACAATTAGCTTACTGTGGGCAGTATGAACAATTAGTCTACTGTGGGCAGGATGAACAATTAGTCTACTGTGGACAGTATGAAAAATTAGTCTACTGTGGGCAGTATGAACAATTAGCCTACTGTGGGCAGTATGAACAATTAGTCTACCGTGGGCAGTATGAACAATTAGCCTACTGTGGGCAGTATGAACAATTAGTCTACTGTGGGCAGTATGAACAATTAGCCTACTGTGGGAAGTATGAACAATTAGCCTACTGTGGGTAGTATGAACAATTAGCCTACTGTAGGCAGTATGAACAATTAGTCTACCATGGGCAGTATGAACAATTAGCCTACTGTGGGAAGTATGAACAATAAACCCACTGTGGGCGGTATGGATTAGTCTACCATGGGCAGTATGAACAATTAGCTTACTGTGGGCAGTATGAACAATTAGTCTACTGTGGGCAGGATGAACAATTAGCCTACTGTGGGCAGTATGAACAATTAGTCTACTGTGGGCAGTATGAACAATTAGCCTACTGTGGGAAGTATGAACAATTAGCCTACTGTGGGTAGTATGAACAATTAGCCTACTGTGGGCAGTATTAACAATGAGTCTTCCATGGTCAATATGAACAATTAGTCTACCATGGGCAGTATGAACAATTAGCCTACTGTGGGCAGTATGAACAATTAGTCTACTGTGGGCAGTATGAACAATTAGCCTACTGTGGGAAGTATGAACAATTAGCCTACTGTGGGTAGTATGAACAATTAGCCTACTGTGGGCAGTATTAACAATGAGTCTTCCATGGTCAATATGAACAATTAGTCTACCATGGGCAATATGAACAATTAGCCTACTGTGGGCAGTATGAACAATTAGTCTACTGTGGGCAGTATGAACAATTAGCCTACTGTGGGCAGTATGAACAATTTGCCTACTGTGGGCAGTATGAACAATTAGACTACTGTGGGCAGTATTAACAACTAGTCTACCATGGTCAGTATGAACAATTAGCCTACTGTGGGCAGTATTAACAATGAGTCTACCATGGTCAATATGAACAATTAGTCTACCATGGGCAGTATGAACAATTAGCCTACTGTGGGCAGTATGAACAATTAGCCTACTGTGGGAAGTATTAACAATTAGTCTTCCATGGTCAATATGAACAATTAGTCTACCATGGGCAGTATGAACACTTAGCCTACTGTGGGCAGTATGAACAATTAGTCTACTGTGGGCAGTATGAACAATTAGCCTACTGTGGGCAGTATGAACAATTAGACTACTGTGGGCAGTATTAACAACTAGTCTACCATGGTCAGTATGAACAATTAGCCTACTGTGGGCAGTATTAACAATGAGTCTACCATGGTCAATATGAACAATTAGTCTACCATGGGCAGTATGAACAATTAGCCTACTGTGGGCAGTATGAACAATTAGCCTACTGTGGGCAATATTAACAATTAGTCTACCATGGTCAGTATGAACAATTAGTCTACCATGGTCAGTATGAACAATTAGCCTACTATGGTCAGTATGAACAATTAGTCTATTGTGGGCAGTATGAACAATTAGTCTACCATGGGCAGTATGAACAATTAGCCTACTGTGGGCAGTATGAACAATTAGTCCACCATGGGCAGTATTGACAATTAGTCTACCATGGGCAGTATGAACAATTAGTCTACCATGGGCAGTATGAACAATAAGCCTACCGTGGACAGTATGAACAATTAGCTTACCGTGGGCAGTATGAACAATCAGTCTACCATGGGCAGTATGAACAATGAGTCTACCATGGGCAGTATGAACAATGAGTCTACCATGGGCAGTATGAACAATGAGTCTACCATGGGCAGTATGGACAATTAGTCTACCATTGGCAGTATGAACAATTAGCCTACTGTGGGCAGTATGAACAATGAGTCTACCATGGGAAGTATGAGCAATGAGTCTACCATGGGCAGTATGAACAATTAGTCAACCGTGTGAAATCATCCGAGTGCTTAATTGTCTGCCTGATGAGTGTATGCTGATTGTCTACGTGCTAAATCAGCGGTTCTCAACCTGTGGGTTTTGACCCCTTTGAGGTCGCGGGACCCTTTTCCAGGGATCGCCTAAGACCATCTCAAAACACATATCCTTACAGCTAAGAAGTAGCAACAAAAATAATTGTATGGCTGGGGGTCGCCACGACACGAGAAACTGTATTATAGGGTCGCGGTACTATAAAGGTTGAGAACCACTGTGCTAAATAGTCTCTGTGCACAACCATCCGCTGCTGAGTAGCTATGCCTGTGCCAAGTTTTCCGTTTTTATCTTGTGCGCATATGGCATGTCATTGAACCATACTCTATGACCCCAACGTACTCTGTGGCATGCTGCCCATAATTTTAAAAAAAATAAATAAAAAACATAGGAAAATGTTTACTTGTTTTTCTTCGGGTAATTTTATTATCTCAACGTTATTAAAAATGTACATAGTGAAATGTGAAATAACCAACCATATGTACAGACCCAAATAAATTTTATCATAGTATTATACAAAATTTGTGAGATAAAAAAAAAAATACAATGTACAAAAAACAGCCGTTAAAAAAAACCAAAAAAACTGTTACTTCTCTTATGAGGCACAAACAAATGAACCAATGAGAACACAACTATAAACATAATCACTTCAGCGGCTGCATATTTTAAAAAAAAAAAAAAATTTTTAAAAACCTACTAAATAAATATGCCTGAGGCTCAAAGTGGACAATGTTTCTTTGAATAAATAATATTGTGAAAAACTAAAAATTAAAGCTATCATTTTATCATTTGGGATCACAATTTGCCCGTATCAATAACAGAAATAGCCTCATACCGAAATTTAAAGGTGAATATTTATGCTATAAAAATTGACAAAGTGAACTCTTTAAGACAAAGTTTAAATGATGTTTTTACAAAGTGGCTGATTCTTCCAATGAATACTCTCAGTATGTAGCTTCAGGCTTCATTGCTAATGGTAGAAATTCCTTTCCTTCTGAGCTTTTCAACCTGGCGGTGATAAAAAATAATTATTATTTTTTTTTAAATATTTTTTTTAATTAAAATTATTTTGCCAATCATTGTATCATTATGAAAGTAATTTTTACTTCCTCAATCTTTGAATATAACTTGAACATTCAATGACTGTGCTACTTTAGATTGGAAGCCTACTGTAAATTACAAAAATGTCTTTGGCAACAACCTTATACAAAGTAAACTATGAAATAAATTTCTAAAGATTTAATCACAGCAACTAAATAAAAGTTTTAAAGATTTTAAATGTATCATTTGCCTGCTTCATCTAAAGACCATGCTGTTAAGCTACAGTTCTAAATGATTTATTATTAACTGGCATGTTTTGTTTGTTTTTTTTAAATAAAAAGCTTAGGATGAATCCTACTTGACAGTAGCAATAAACTTTTTCCAACCACCAATTGAAAAAAAAATGTTTTCTTATAATAGGTGAATAGCGTGCAAGTGCAGAAGACAGACATTTTGAAGTCAAGACATTCTGTGAAATATCTGATAACAAGCAGCCCACCCTGAATTACCTCATCGGCTTCGGGCAGGGAATGTTGGGTATTCATGGCGAAAGTTAGGTAATTATTTCAGTGGTCAAAAAATGAATTCAAATATCGGTACCGACAAATAGCTGTTTCGCACTGATTATTAACTGCTGTCCCCGTTGAACAGTGTTTCAGATGAGGAACAAGCAGCCGATATGTATATGATTTCTAATGTGTAATGTTACTTTGTACTCATGAGTAATAAATTAAGTGGAAACACAGAAATGTAACAGTAGTTAATCAGCTTTTTTGTTAAAAAATTAGTTAATGATAAAAAAAATTATTGACATCACATAACTTAATGAGCAGATACAATAACAGTATATTATTTATATTGATTATAATTCACTATATGTCTTATACTTATTGACTTAATAAGCACAATTAGCTTTTATAAAAGTATAAAGACTCTAAAAAAAAAATTTAACTGTAAGCAACATTCAAGGCAACGAGCACATTATCACCACACATGACTTATGTAAAGAAAGAACAAAAGATGTTGAAAGTGGCTTGAAGAAAGGAAGGTGGTTTAAAATAAGCATTAGGAAAACAGGTGTTGAAAACACGGTGGTGACCGAGCTATAAATAATAATTTTAAAAAGACAAAAGAACAGGGAGGTGTGTTAATGTTCATACTCATAGCGAAAGGAACGTAATATCAACTAGAGTAAAGGGAGGTAATAATGTAATGGGAGTTCCTTCTTTTCATTTCAGACACCATTAACTGATAAGTAAGTGTAAAATAAATCTGAAATAACAACAATAATAACTAACAATTAAACAAAAGTACATTGTCAATAATTTACACTCAGGTCATTTAAATTTATGGAATAAAATTACAGGAAACAAGGGGCAGAAATGCTAGAGCTTATGAATAACCTGAAATGAAAACAAAGTATTCTATAAAAAACAAAATTGGTATGACTGATTCAAATAAAATAAGGAAAAAAATTTAAAAAAAAAAAAAAACACATTAAAATTGAGTGGCACCTAGTCTGGGGGTGGAGGGGTGTGTTAATTTGAGTCATTAAATGAAAACAAAGTATTCTATAAAAAAAAAAATTGGTATGACTGATTCAAATAAAAAAAGGAAAAAAATTTAAAAAAAAAAAAAAACACATTAAAATTGAGTGGCACCTAGTCTGGGGGTGGAGGGGTGTGTTAATTTGAGTCATGGTTAGCAGGGGCTGACTAAAACATGGGTTGGAATTGGTGTGGTCTCACAAAGTGTAGAATCAAACCTGAGTTTATCCCCCAACTCATTAAAAATAATAAATACCCACACCAGAATTTATAAGAAAGCATTACAGTACATTGCCACATCCAGTGCAGGGATATTAATTATGTTTAAGAAGAAATTCAATTGAAAAGGTGTTTTTGCGTATGTGTGTGCTTCATTACTCTGTTTCTTTGTACAACCAAGGGACATAAGATGTGAAGAAATAAACTAAAAAATAAATGCAGGACGCAAGGGGTCAGGACACAAGTCAAGAAAAATACTGAAATGCAGCACAGGGTTGAGTAAAGCTCTCATTATTCAGGTCTCAGGATATATTTCAACATTCAACAGTTGCCAGATGCAAGGTGTCTACGTCAATATGTCTTTAAATGTTTAAATATGCATGGGGTTGGCCCGATTAAAAAAATTGTTCAAGTGTTTCTACCAGATCCCAGAACCAAATATTTCAATTTATTTTCCTTAAGAACATCTGGGAGGGTTTGTGACTGAATCCAGCACTAGCTGCCACCACTATAGGTCAATTTGTTTATACAGACAAAATAAGCCTTTACCAAAGCTATAGCACAGCCTATAAGAATATATATTTCACTACAAATCTAAGTTCAATACTTCTGGCTAGAGAAAATCAACAAGTTCAAAATTTTTTGATTATTTTTCTGTTAAAAAACTACACTTGCATTTGGAAAACTGAATAAAAGGAACACAAAGAAGTTAATAGCAAATAGATTTAATTGCCTTCATGCGACAATGGATTCTCTTTGTTTTAGCTTGTCGAGGATCAGAGACCCCGTCCTGGCCAGTGAAGCTGGAGCTTTTAATTCCTCAAGCTCGGCCTGTATAGATGAATTGTTGAGTATTAATTTCACACCTGCCGTCATGTCTTTCAGCACTGGCGGGACTACTCCATCTTGTGGCAGAGCGGCCTGCGTCACATCCGCAATTTCTTTCAGGGCTGGAAATCAAGGGGTTAATGGCTACAGTGGTGGAGTTACCAAGTCAAAAGATATATGAGAGGAAGAGTGAGAGAACAATAAACACCTAGCAAGCCGCATTCATCATAACATCACAGTAACTAGGAACGATCATTTCAGGTTCATCAACAAGGCAATAGAACAAAGGTCTCAAAATGAATGACTGTCTCAAATGAATTAAATAAGGTACACTTATAAGTTTTAAAAAGACAAAACAAATGTAGGGTATGATCTAGAAAGAGGAGAGAGATCTGGCAGAAATGTTGGATATAAGGAATGATCTCGAAATATGAGAGAGACCTGGCAGAAATATTGGGGGGTGCTATGGTTATAAAGACTTTTACTCCTAACTGGAAGGATGTAGTTACAAACCAGACTATCACTACATAGGTGTGTAACCCACAATGCCACGACGTAGGATAGAACTTTTAAGTTTCCCAATGATTATCTTCTAAATGAGATCCAATAAATATAATAATATATATTTTTACAAAGAGAATTTTTGTTTACTTCGGCCCCAGACAAGACAAAACTAACCTTCTATTTCAAATAACTTTTGTTGTGCAAAAATCTTAACCCATTCTGACCCAAAAATAACTAATAAGTATGTAAATGTGCTGGAACTCTATTCTGCTGGCAACATATTGCCTCCCTTTAGGGGGTGTGGCTAAAATGTCACAGGGGCCAGAGGCCAAGTGGTAAATGAGTGCACATCCTCTTTTACACGCTCCCTTCTAATCAATTAAATTTATCAAAATGAACCAAACATCTCTCTTGACTTAATGTTGCATCTGTTCTAAAATGTCAGACATCAGGTTCAAACATTGAAATTTTGTTTTTAATCTGATTTTTTTTCATCTGATGTTTTTGTTTTTTTTTAATTTGATAATGACATTTCTTTTAAATGACACAATAGTGCTGTGGCTTCCCAAAAAAATAGCTTTTAAACAATAAGTTTAAAACCTCCAAATGCAGGTTGGTTGAATTAAAAACGTTGAGAACCACTGATCTTAGGATTTATGATAGATCAATCTTATAGGAGCAGCAGTTAATGAAAAAGATATTTCATCCCGTTTAAAAGTTCCAACATATTCATGCATTTACACCACGATTTATGCGTGACAAAAATGTGCAGGACCCGCAGCAGGCTGTTTTAGTAGGTACAAAAAAGTGCTCTAAGTGCTAATGTGCTGGGTGTGTGGAGAGATGGGGGGGGGGGGCATGAGCCCTCATAAAGTCTTCATTCATTGAGTCAACCCAAATTACACCTGGGTACTTTTCTGTTCAATGCAGGTCCTTGTACACTTGCCCAACTTGATGCATTGGTGCGGCTACTTATCTATTAGCACAGGTCTTCCCTTTATAGTAGGGTCAACTCTGGACACATTTTTAGCTTCTGTGTGAGCTTGAGAGTCATTGGTAACTTTGCCTGTTTGGACAACCTGATAATTTTTTTAACGCCATTTACAGACCTGTTTACTTTTACGATTTTGGCGTACAATGTACAATTTTGAGGTGTATAGATTGTATATACTGTCTGGTTTTTTTTTACTATAAATACAACATATTGAACGATTTTGTGATGATGTTGTACGATTTTAGGAGTAAACAGGTCTGCATTTATGAGCACAAAATTATAAGAAATTCCAAATATGAGAATTGTTATCAAAAGTCCATGTTAAAATTACACAGACGTCACACTTTAATGACCCTGACCTTCATGATCCTGGTCAATATTCCCTGTAACCACCGGTACCTGCGGCTCTTCTTGGACAGCCACAGGAACTTGGACCAAGTTCTGATTGAAGGCATCTGAGATTTCTAGGGACAGAGAAGGGAAACATCATTATAATTTGCTATAAATATAAACACAATGCTATCATGTGTAAAGAGGCCATTATGTGTATAGATGCCATAGTATGTATAGATGCTATTGTGTGTATAGCTGCCATCATCATGTGTATAGATGCCATCATGTGTATAGATGCCATCAGGTGTATACATGTCATCATGTGTATAGATGCCATCGTATGTATAGATAGATCAGCTGGTTTCTTGAAAAAGGGGATGCTCAACCATTTATGAAGGGATTCAAAAATTGATGCCCTTTAGCTCAATGCAAGGCAACATAAACTGGAGATTTAATAGAGGAGACCCTCTTTCACTGACTGGAATGTCATAAGATATTTTGTCTCTTTCACTGACTGGAATGTCATAAGATATTTATGTCTCTTTCACTGACTGGAATGTCATAAGATATTTATGTCTCTTTCACTGACTGGAATGTCATAAGATATTTATGTCTCTTTCACAGACTGGAATGTCATAAGATATTTATGTCTCTTTCACAGACTGGAATGTCATAAGATATTTATGTCTCTTTCACAGACTGGAATGTCATAAGATATTTATGTCTCTTTCACAGACTGGAATGTCATAAGATATTTATGTCTCTTTCACAGACTGGAATGTCATAAGATATTTATGTCTCTTTCACAGACTGGAATGTCATAAGATATTTATGTCTCTTTCACAGACTGGAATGTCATAAGATATTTCTGTCTCTTTCACAGACTGGAATGTCATAAGATATTTCTGTCTCTTTCACAGACTGGAATGTCATAAGATATTTCTGTCTCTTTCACAGACTGGAATGTCATAAGATATTTATGTCTCTTTCACAGACTGGAATGTCATAAGATATTTATGTCTCTTTCACAGACTGGAATGTCATAAGATATTTATGTCTCTTTCACAGACTGGAATGTCATAAGATATTTATGTCTCTTTCACAGACTGGAATGTCATAAGATATTTATGTCTCTTTCACAGACTGGAATGTCATAAGATATTTATGTCTCTTTCACTGACTGGAATGTCATAAGATATTTATGTCTCTTTCACTGACTGGAATGTCATAAGATATTTATGTCTCTTTCACTGACTGGAATGTCATAAGATATTTCTGTCTCTTTCACAGACTGGAATGTCATAAGATATTTCTGTCTCTTTCACAGACTGGAATGTCATAAGATATTTCTGTCTCTTTCACAGACTGGAATGTCATAAGATATTTCTGTCTCTTTCACAGACTGGAATGTCATAAGATATTTCTGTCTCTTTCACAGACTGGAATGTCATAAGATATTTCTGTCTCTTTCACAGACTGGAATGTCATAAGATATTTCTGTCTCTTTCACAGACTGGAATGTCATAAGATATTTCTGTCTCTTTCACAGACTGGAATGTCATAAGATATTTCTGTCTCTTTCACAGACTGGAATGTCATAAGATATTTATGTCTCTTTCACAGACTGGAATGTCATAAGATATTTCTGTCTCTTTCACAGACTGGAATGTCATGAATATTTCTGGGTTTTTTTTAACTACAAATAATGGACAGAAAAAATGACCAAAGTCTTAAAAACTAGAAGGATAATCCAGTCCACTAAAAGAAAGCAATATCCGAAGGATAGTTAAATACACCAAGCATTGAAAAGTTAAAACTTGTGTGCCAATCAAATTACATCAAGAAACATCAATCCAAGGAGAGGATTTTGATTTCAGGGTTACAGTTCACAATAACATGGCTTGATTTCTATTTCAATGGACCCTTTTCAACATACCTTCTACAATGGTGTGGTAAGCAAAATGTAAGTACAGTAGAAACAGAAGGTGTAGGGCAGCAATGGTTCCAATGACAATCAGACGCTCAGTGTGCCCTCTTGTTCTTGACATGATTATACCCGCCTGTGTGGACATTGCATTCAAGAATACATTAAGTTCAAGAAAACTATTTATAAAACTGTAATCAGACCAGTTGTAACATACACAAGCGAAACTTGGACCCTAACAAAAATGTCAGAAAACCTTTGAAACAGGGGAGAGAAAAGTTCTCTGGAAAATATATGGATCAACAAAGGATGAATATGGATGGAGAATACAAATCAACCAGGAATTGTACAGTCTATATCAGGATCCCATGCTAGTAGCAGAAGTAAAAAAGGGGCAGGCTATGCTGGGCAGAACACACAGAAAGAATGCAAAATGACAGAGGAGTTAAGAGGGTGGACCACCAAAACCCCAGAGGAAAACGTCCCAACTCAAAGGCAGACCTACGCTAAAATGGATGGATGATGTGGGAAAAGATCTACAGCAGCTGGGAATCCAAGCATGAAAAAGATAAGCCTTAGTTAGGTCTGAATGGAAGGAAGTAGTGAGGCAGGCCAAAGCCCTACATGGGCTGTAGTGCCAAAGAGATGGGATGGAAGTAGTGAAGCAGGCCAAAGCCCTACATGGGCTGTAGCGCCAAAGGGATGGGATGGAAGTAGTGAAGCAGGCCAAAGCCCTACATGGGCTGCAATGCCAAAGGGATGGGATGGAAACATTTAGTTCGGCCGCTTATAAATAACAGATGAGAACTTGATTCTATTTGTTGTTTTCAAACTATTGTTAGTTTATTGCATCAATCCCCTTGTTACTTTCATTTTCATTGTATCCTCTTGCTGTCCTCTCAGATACTACATTGCAGCTGTTTGTATTTTATATTGTTTTTACTGCTGTTTTGTTCCTTAAAGAAGGTTCTTGCCAACATGTTCGTTGTTTTGTGGCGTCCTTTTTTTCAGTTTTAAGTAAAACACTTCACACAATCAATTTTAAGTATCACCCTTCACACATAAAGTTCTAAGTATCACTCTTCACACATTCAGTTTCAAGACTCACCCTTCACAGCGTTTCAAGTATCACTCTTCACACAATCAGTTTTAAGTATCACTCTTCACACAATCAGTTTTAAGTATCACTATTCACACAATCAGTTTTAAGTATCACTATTCACACAATCAGTTTTAAGTATCACTCTTCACACAATCAGTTTTAAGTATCACTCTTCACACAATAGCTTCAAGTATCACTCTTCACACAATCAGTTTTAAGTATCACTCTTCAGACAACACTTTACATTGAAATCAAAATAAGAAATAATTAATTAAAAATTAATCAAAATGTTTGATACATTTTCTTTCCTATTTATTTATTTCAACGTGGTTGAAGCTGTTGAGCTTTTATTTGTTAATGGTGCGATGATTGACTTTGACTTAAATTATTCCCATTTCATTCCGAATTTTTTTTTTAAACATCGATAATCGAACTATAAGCCTACCATTTTTAGCGTAGACAGGCCGCCGACCACAGCCCACAGGAAGTAAAAAAACATGTGGTCGTGCCCTGTGTGGATGACCGTCCCCAAGAACAGAACAATACAGTGACCAAAAAGTGAATAGCCCTGGGGAAACAAAAGTCGATGAGAACCTACAAACACAGAAGTTTATACAGTGTTTATTATGATCTTTTAGGTACCATTAATATCTTAAAAATTTCGCTGAATAAATTTTATTTAAAATTCAATATGCAAATAAATAGACACTTTTAATACGTCACACAATTTTTAAAAAACACAAGCTATCGTTTAGAAAATTTTGTTAATAAAACACTACCAAATTCTTCAGGCTAAATTAATTCCAGTAGCTATTTTTATCAAAGATAGTGTAAAAATTTAACCTTATTTTTTTTTGGACATATTTTATTGATGAATAAAAGCATGATTACATCTGCTACAAGGTTGTTGTTTTTTTCATTAATGAACGGGAATGAAATCTGTTAAGTCATAGAGTAAGCTCATTCACACAAAAAAAAAGAGTTCAGTTATGACGGCTTTTTCCCCCAAAATTAAACGATCAAACATTTTTTTTTTTCAAATTTAAATAGTTTCTATTGCTGCAACGATGAATTTTGAATTCCAATTTCTTAATTTGCGATAAGCTAATGAAGCCATTTCTTACCATCATAGAAAGTATCTGCAAAAGTGTGATGCGAACATTACAGACGTAAGACACAAACCAGACCAGACAGGAGGCTCCTAACCAGTACATGAAACAAACTCCAATGGCTGAACCCATCAACGTTCCTTCTTCCTGTATAATAATAGGAAAAATAAATTGTGACTGATGACAACTCTTTTTTTTTTTTTTTTAAACTTATTTTTTATTTATTTATTTTTTTTTTTGAAGGATTGCCCAAGATTTGTATTTAAAAAAGTGTTGAATAAAAAAGTCAGAGAATCTTCGACTGAAACCAACTCTTTTTCTAACTTGAATTTTTTTTAAAATACATATCAACGTTCCTTCTTCCTGTATAATAATAGGAAAAATAAATTGTGACTGATGACAACTCTTTTTTTTTTTTTTTTTAAACTTATTTTTTATTTATTTATTTTTTTTCTTGAAGGATTGCCCAAGATTTGTATTTAAAAAAGTGTTGAATAAAAAAGTCAGAGAATCTTCGACTGAAACCAACTCTTTTTCTAACTTAAATTTTTTTTAAAATACACACGAAATAATTTGTTTAACAGCATTTTTAGTGATTTGCATATAAGATGTTGTTTGATTTAGAAAATCCTCTTTACTGATTTTTTTTTAAAACACCAACATACCTGAGTTGATTTGGGTTCTGCTCGTTACCCAATTTATTTTTTGCACGATATTTTGTCAATAAGCAAGTAAAATTAAACCACATGATACATACTACTTTGTGCTCTGCTGTTTTCATCTGGTACAGCAAGATTGCAATCAATGTGAGGACCACCATTGTAGGACCGTACAGTTCTTTAGGTACTTGCTGCCTCTGGTCGGATGGTTTGACTGGTATCAAGGAGAAGAGAAGCCTGAAACAGGGGACAGTGATTCTCATTTAGGCTGACATACTGAAGGTTCCCATTAACACCCTGCTGGGAAAGAATCTTTTAAATTTGACTGGAGCATGCAAAGACTCCCGGCCACACGCAAGTTAAATCGTACCTCATCTGAACCACCCTGGGCTCTACGTCAAAGTAAGGACGCAGCACGTCAATGTTTCCGTAGAGTGACCAGGCTCTCTTGGCACCCTGGGTGCCTGCTTGCCACACCTGTGAGGAGGAACATTCATTTATTGTTGATGCTTTATGTTTCTGTTATCCTGCCAAATGTAAACTGAGCCGGCAAACTATTTGACTAAACATGAACATTGAGTAACACTGAGCCGGCAAACTATTTGACTAAACATGAACATTGAGTAACACTGAGCCGGCAAACTATTTGACTAAACATGAACATTGAGTAACACTGAGCCGGCAAACTATTTGACTAAACATGAACATTGAGTAACACTGAGCCGGCAAACTATTTGACTAAACATGAACATTGAGTAACTTGACATTACGAGTTAAGTTCATGCTACTCATCCAAGGCCATGAACATTGAGTAACTTGACATTACGAGTTAAGTTCATGCTACTCATCCAAGGCCATGAACATTGAGTAACTTGACATTACGAGTTAAGTTCATGCTACTCACCCAAGGCCATGAACATTGAGTAACTTGACATTACGAGTTAAGTTCATGCTACTCACCCAAGGCCATGAACATTGAGTAACTTGACATTACGAGTTAAGTTCATGCTACTCACCCAAGGCCATGAACATTGAGTAACTTGACATTACGAGTTAAGTTCATGCTACTCACCCAAGGCCATGAACATTGAGTAACTTGACATTACGAGTTAAGTTCATGCTACTCACCCAAGGCCATGAACATTGAGTAACTTGACATTACGAGTTAAGTTCATGCTACTCACCCAAGGCCATGAACATTGAGTAACTTGACATTACGAGTTAAGTTCATGCTACTCACCCAAGGCCATGAACATTGAGTAACTTGACATTACGAGTTAAGTTCATGCTACTCACCCAAGGCCATGAACATTGAGTAACTTGACATTACGAGTTAAGTTCATGCTACTCACCCAAGGCCATGAACATTGAGTAACTTGACATTACGAGTTAAGTTCATGCTACTCACCCAAGGCCATGAACATTGAGTAACTTGACATTACGAGTTAAGTTCATGCTACTCACCCAAGGCCATGAACATTGAGTAACTTGACATTACGAGTTAAGTTCATGCTACTCACCCAAGGCCATGAACATTGAGTAACTTGACATTACGAGTTAAGTTCATGCTACTCACCCAAGGCCATGAACATTGAGTAACTTGACATTACGAGTTAAGTTCATGCTACTCATCCAAGGCCATGAACATTGAGTAACTTGACATTACGAGTTAAGTTCATGCTACTCATCCAAGGCATTCAATTAAAATACTGTGATATGAACATTGAGTAACTTGACATTACGAGTTAAGTTCATGCTACTCATCCAAGGCCATGAACATTGAGTAACTTGACATTACGAGTTAAGTTCATGCTACTCATCCAAGGCATTCAATTAAAATACTGTGATATGAACATTGAGTAACTTGACATCACGAGTTAAGTTCATGCTACTCATCCAAGGCCATGAACATTGAGTAACTTGACATCACGAGTTAAGTTCATGCTACTCACCCAAGGCATTCAATTAAAATACTGTGATAGATTGTAACCAAATAATAGTGCCACTGTAACTTGGAACTTACCATCTGTGTCATATTCTCACTGACTCTTTGCCTGATGTCGTCTGCCAATGTTTTCTTTCCAGAGCCTGAAATTGTACCTCTCTGTGGTCGGCTATCTGCAGAAATAGGAAATTTCACACACAATGAGATTAATTATGATTTGAACATTTCAATGGGTTTTGCCTTGAGAACATCAGATATGAAACTTCAATGGTTTACATAAATGAAAACAACTAATTTCTGAAGAGACTCCTATTCCTATATAAATATAATAAAAGTTAATTATTTATTGGATTACACACAGAAAAGTCGAGGTCAAAAATTCTTATTGCTACAATTATAAAAATTAGCAAAATAGCATTAAGTTCTCGAAAGTTAAAGAACCACAGCAATAAAGTGATTTCTTTATTTGGTTAGGTCATTTTATAACTTTCATGAGCTCAGTAAATAAAATAAAAGAGGGAAGAAATAAAATTCAATTTATTGTTTTAACATTTATTTATGGAGAATAATAAAATATTTATTTTTATTTACAGTAAACAGATAAAAGATATGAATGCATATAAAGAAATTTTAGGAAAAATACAGTCATTGAATAAATATTAATTTAAATAATTTTTATGATAAATTAAAGGCTCAAGGGAGGATAATTTTATAAAAAAAGAATGTGCGCTTTGAAATCAGATTATGCCACTTTATTCATATCGTCATTTGCAATGCAACTTTTTTTTATAAAAACATATAAAAAAAAACAACTTTAGTCTATGGCTGTACTTTATTCTGTGATGTCATATTTCTAAATTTTCAAAGACTCTTTTGCAATATCATGAAATGTGTTTGTTTTTCATATCAGATACTTCTATAGCATGAGCTTAATCTGAAGAATTACCTGAGAAACTGTTTTCATAGTCTGAAACATCACTTTGGCCATCTTCCATTATTTCCATGTCTTCCAGATCCATATCCAGCACAGCTGATCCAGCAGCCCCAGTATTTCTCTGATAACAAAAACAAATATATATATATATATATATGTGTGTGTGAGTGTATGTGTGTGTATATATATATACCGGTATATGTGTATGTGTGTGTATATACATACAAGCAGATATTACCAGGTGTTACTATGGAAATAAAATTGATTTTTTTTTTTTAAAGTATAATAGTTTTAAGTTTTTTGTTTTTTTTCAATTAACAATAAATAATACATTGTCACACTGCCCTTTATAAAGTGAATAGCATAGAATATCAGACGGTGAAATGAAAAAGAAATAACATGATTGGTCGTCTTTATTAAGCAGAGTGTACTCCAATTTATCTATTGAAATTTGCCATAATGCCAGTAGCCTCAATTTTAAAAAATTACAGCTTTTGTGGTAAATGGATTTTGACAAAACTTTCCAGGGACCATCTTTAGGTCAGGCAGTATGATCATGTTAAATTTCATTGCAATCTAATGTTTGGCTTTTAATATTTTTAATTAATATAGGTAATTACATTCATAAATACGTAGTCACACTACCCTTTATATATGCGTGGTGCTATTATAGCTTGTGGGTTGATGCCCCCTACTGTGACCCCCACAGTATTATGATTTGAAAAAATCTCCACTTGTGACTTTTATGGACATGAAGTTAATTTGTTTACTACCACGAGCCGCTGGAAGCGCCAAAGCACTTCTTAAGTTATGGCCACGAGCCGCTGGCAGCGCCAATGTTTGAGTCATAGTAAATCAAGTCAAATCTTAAAAGAATTCCATTCCTGTTTTGGTTCGAGATATTAATTTACAGACATGATGTTTATTTTCGAAACTCATGCTATCAGCAGAAAGTTTAAGAAAGCAAGCAGTTAATTCATTTTGATTTACTGTCCAAGCTAGTTACAAAACTGTAAAACTTGTTTACCATGGCAACAAGCGACAGGGTTATTAAAGACATATATGTAATTGGAAGTGTAAATATTATTAAATTTCTGTGTTCTTTGATGAACTTTTCTTATTATTGGATACACTATATTGAAAACAACAAATGAAGGCTTTTGGAAATTCAAAATTGACAGGTAAGTTGGCACATTTATGTACTTTTTATTTGTTTATTGTTTTAATTACAAATAATAATTTCCCAATAAAAATTATATTGATGAATCATTTTACATCTATCTTATAGCAAATTAATTTATCTACAAAACTGCATAATACCCATAAGAATATGTTTATAATTACGAAACTTGCAGCTGAATTTGCACATACGCCTGCAAATGGGAAAATGCAACCTAACTACATTTAATTCGGCAACTGCCTGTTTTTCAGTCTGGTAGTTAATCAGTTAAGGCATCTAAACCCCCTATGAAAATAAGACAGTCCCTTTTTCAGACAAAAAGATTTACTTGTGCTAACTTGCACTACTTACATATATATTGTGTTTGCATAATGATTACTTGTATTTAATTACAGTACACTGTGAAAGGATATTTAATATGAGTCCAACTATGCAGTGGCAAGCCTTTGGGGGAGGGGAGCGTGCAAAAGGAGCAACTGCCCTGGGTCAAATTTGTTAGGATTATATTTAACATTATATAAATAATGTGGCTGTATGCGAGTGTGTTGGGAGCGGATGTTTAAGAGTTAAGCCTTGGGTAGCAGTTAGTAAAAAAGGTATGCAACTGCAGCCACAAATTATTTTCTACTACAGTTCAACAAATATTATTTTTACAATTGTCATTTACTATTTTTTAAATTTTTAGAAGTTTACCCAAATTTTGGGATTAATGCCAGTGACAGTGAACTTATGAAGGGTGCCCTGAGTTTTTGTGGATGAGTGAACTCTATTTTGTTAAGTCACGGATAGCTACTATAACTAGAAGTAGAGTTAACTTTTTAAAAATTTTAAATATGTTAATTAGCTGATAGTGATAGAATGTTTTGATTGATGGCATTTTAAATTGATATTTCATACATAGCATAGTTAATAAGTATAATATTTCAAAATGATGTTATTTTAAAATTGATAATAATATTTAATATTTGCTGTCCGCTGGAATGAATGTCAAGTCGTACATTTTCCTAGAGTTATATTATTATTATAGTCATAGTCATACTACATAGTCCTATCATGTTATATGTGTATTATCATTCCTCCATCAAAAACAGTATCCATAGTCTTTGTGTGATATTTGTGTTCGGATTTTAAGTTTTACTTTTACTCATTGATAAAGATAATGATTGACTTGCTGTGTTACACTGTGAGTGACTGTGTAAACTGTAGGCCTGAATGATTAAAATGTTTAAGTTTAAGACTAAGACTGTAACACTAACTGTCTTAAAAATAAAATAGACTAAATTAAAACCCCAAAAAATGCCTTGCAAAAGAATAAAACGGAACTGACTCAAGTCACTCAAAACCAAGTACCCTAGGCCTAGTACAGCCTACACTACAGATTAAAATTAAATAATTAATAATATGAACTTATCGCAAAAAATAATTAAGGCAAGGTTAGCGACAGTCTAGAATAACTGCTATTATATAATATTAGGTCAACCTATTATTATTATGGCCTACCATTATTATTATTCTGTTAACGAAACAGAGTTTGTTTCATGTGTGTCTATACTATGTTGATCTAAAGATTCGTCTATACCTGGGACTGCTTTTGCCACGACAAGTCCGCCATGTCAACAATACCGTGTTTATGTGCACATTTCAAGAATGGGTGAAGACTTAAATTGTCCAGTCATAGTATTTTATCGCATGGAAGCGGTGATATTTTAATAACTATGTACTTTTTTTTTTAAGAGGTGTGGGTGCTACATGTTTTGTCCTTTTCTTTATATGGCTTTAAAAATTATTACGAAGAACTTAAGATGTGTTTTCGATATCTTTTGTGGGTTTTGTTTATTAGGGAGGAAAAGTCAAGGACCTTGTCCTGGCACTCACAAACTCCAGCTACTCCACGTCTTCTTCATGTCATAGTAATGTCACATCAAAATGCACAATTTTAAATAAAAATTTTGTCTGTTTATCTGGCCCGTGGATTCAATAGTGATTTTGAAGTCACAGAAAAATTAACGTCCTTGCATATTATAAAAGCAACAACAGGAAATGGGGGGGGGGGGCGGGGGGCAAAAAATCTGGGACGTCACAGTCCCTTTTTTTTTAATTAAAAAAA